CAGCCTATATGGGAATCATGTCTTGCCCCAACCATGCTGAAGCCATGTGTTAAGCTAAGAGACATGAAGGGCATAGGTATGGAAAACGTTTCAGGTAGCCATCATGTCATGCAACCAACCATTGCACTGTTCTTGTAAATCACTTCTGCAAAATCTTCACGTTCAAAACCGTCTGGTAGCACCGTCTGAGCGAGCGACATCCACATGCCAGTGGTGTTTGCAGAGCTGTGGGTTGGAGCCCCTGCCCCCAGGCGCGCGCCTTTGTCAGACGGGGCGGCGTTGGTATGCGGCAGCGCGGGGCGCACGACGGAGGGGTGTCTGGCGGAGGGTTCGCTGGAGCGAGCGGCTGTCGGGAAGCGGGGGGCTGTCCTGACCTTGCCCGGTCGGCGAGCGGCGGTTGGCGTCATTACCCTGGAACAGGGCCGGTGCCGACGCCATCGCCGCCGGCCAGAGATGCGTCCTTGCCAGTCCGCCCGTGTCGTATATAAAGGCGCGCGCCGCCGGGGAAGGCACAGTTCCCTGCACCTCTGAGAACGTGCCATCCACACGATGAAGCTGGTGAGTAGAGAGCGACGGCTGTCGTGGTCGGCATGCGGGTCTAAGTGCCGCCAGGGGCTGCTCCAGCAGTGCGGGGGCCAGAACCGTCGTGCAGGTTCCTTGGCAGCATCTTCTGCGAAGGCCTGCCATTTTCTGTCCCACCACGTGCTCTTCATTTCGATAGCGGTTTTGCTGTATGCGCTATCACCATTGAAAAAATCGGAGATGCTCGCAGGTTCTGTTGTTCCCTCTATCAATTGTCGGGGACATTGTATACCTGTAGTTCGCTTTTACAGCCCGGGGTGCATATATAGTACCCAATTGGCCACAACATTTAAAACTGCTATCTACCTGTTCTCCCCAGTCTGCATGAGCTTGACCGTGGATTCTACTGATGGTTATCGAAACCAGACCCATAAAACGATTGCAAATTATGTGGGTATCATTATCGCCATTAGCCTATTGTAACAACACAGGTCTGAAATTTCGTTTGCTGCTTCATAAACCGGAAAAACACATTTTGAAGAAGGTAATTTAGAAATGTGTCCATACCAGTTTTTAAACATTTAGTATGCTTTACAATTGAACGAAATGCAAGACTTCGGCAGATATTTACAGTGGCGTAGTCCTCACCCTCGCCATGTATTAAAACGTTCCATAGTTTAGCGTATATATGTTGGTGCTGCGTTGCAAACAAAAAGCCTTTTGATAACAGCTATTGTGTGTTGGAACAAAATGCTCATGGAGTAACATGTTCGGTATTTTGATGGTTTACTTCGCAAAACTTTGGCTCGGATATATTTTAGGCGGATTTTCTTTTATTTCCAGTCAAATACCGTTGGATTTTGCAATCAGTACCTTTTGAAAACAGCTGTCGTGAAGAAGGCAACTAATAGTTGAAGAGGGTGTTCGTGTTGGTTAGTACCGTAGCGTCAGTACGCCAGAATATTAACATTGCAAAATTCATTCACCATGTTAATTTTTCTGCAACATGAGCTGCATAATTTCGGATTTTTTGGTTTCAATTATGCTGCCCGTTCCCAAATGAAGCAAGTAAAAAAGGGTATCACACACCTAAAATGACACGTCGCTTTGCAACCAATGCTCATGGCTGTCCTTTCACTTTTTAAATGCCTTCAAACCGATGCTGCTTCACTTCGGATGGTGCAAAAGTCGTCCAATTTTTTGGTGAATGTGGCAACAAATGGTACAGCTGCTCGATTTGCTTCAAACAGTTGTTTTGGCACATCTATCTTGATCACTTGAAAACCTTGGGCTGGCAGACATTAAGCAGCATTAATTACTCTCGGCGAGGACGGCTAATTCCTACGCGCCATCGGTTATTTACCATCTACGTCACGGTAGAAAACCGGCCACAAACAGGCTACGCAGGCTGGGCGAATGCGCCGCCTGTTCGCCGTCCCGCGCCCAATGCCGGGTTAGGGCCCTAAGTGGGATGTTTACAGGAAAGGCACTGCCACTGACGAAACCCCGGCTCATTTTACGCGCTGTTTTCGCCTACGGGTGCTGGGCCGACAGTGCAGTAACCGCTGCAGATGACGGGGGCCCACGCTGCCTCACGACAATCAGCTTTTGTGTCGCAACGCTTCCAACCATGCTTGCCAGTGCTCATGGCGAGGCTGGCCTGACAAATGCCCAGATCATGGCTTCTGCCGCTAGCTCCCGGCCTGTCGCCGTTGCTCAGAGCCGGCCCACTCCGCTGGTCATAATCGGATGCCCCCCGAGCCGGTGACCGCCAACCGGTCGTCCGAGGCGCGCCGCCAGCGAGCCGGCCTGCCCCTCGGAGGCCTCGGCGCTGGGCCGGCTCGGGCCCACCCACCGCCGCACGGCCTCCCTCTGTTGTGCCGCCTGACCTGATAGCTGACCTCTGTCGTGCCGCCTGACTTGAAGGCTGACCTCTGTCTGTCCGCAGCTGATTGTCTGCGCCCTGGTGGCCGTGGCCGCCGCCGCGAAGCTGGAGGGCCTCGAGAAGGAGCCGATCGCCATCGTCCGCATGGACAGCACCAGCGACGAGGACGGCTCGTTCCAGTACTCCTTTGAGACGGCCAACAAAATCCAGGTAGGTGTGAGACCGCATTGCAGCAGCTGCTTGGCCGCGGGGTCATTCTGCCGCGTTCGCAGTGTCACGAAAACGGTCTGCTGCAAATATTCTTACTGACGATACTTGCTCATGTGCTTGCAACTGGCCGCTGATAGGTTTGTGTGCAGACACTTCAACGTCTAGCGATCTGTGAGCGTATGCGATCGTCGCCCCATTGGCACCGCTATAGCTAACAGTTAAGCCGTAAATATGAGTCATCGCTGGTTTGTCCGTCACCCGTCGCCGTGACACCCACTCGCGCCCTACAGACCGAGGTCCAGGGCCAGCTGAAGCAGATTGGCGAGGAGTTCGGCACCACCATGCAGGGCAGCTACAGCTTCGTCACCCCCGAGGGCCAGACCGTGCAGATCTCGTGGGTGGCCGACGAGAACGGCTTCCAGCCGGTCGGTGACGCCATCCCCGTCGCGCCCCAGGCCTAGGTGCCGCCTCCCACCGTCGACCGTCGCCTCCCACTGACCGTCCGCCATGCCGGGTCCCCGTCGGCTGTCGGGCGTCCCACCGTCATCCCCAGCGGCCTGCCGCCGCCCCTCTCATGTTGAACGTCATTTTCTCGAATACACACGCCCGATGAGTCTGAGGCTGTTTCCGTACCCGATGAAGGCCGCCAAATTGCCGAGGCGAGCCCG